GAATTTCGCACAATGGAAGCCGAAAATATTGAATTATTAATGAATTTGATTCGAAATTATCCCGAATTATATTTAGTTGGGCATGTTGATTACAAAATCCTCTTCAGAATCTGAAAGCGACGACTGGAACGACTCAGATGACATTCTGAAACGACGTCTGCACCTACAGCCCACGAAAGCTACAATGACATATCCTTGCGAAAAACCTGCAGTGTACTAACGTTCCGCAGATATTTCGCTACCGCAATTATTTCGCAAAGATTCGCAGCCGCATACGAACGCGTAGGTGTACTAAAGGCGTAAATATGAAAATATTTCTTCGTAAGGAACTTACCAGGGGGTCTAGCCATATTGGTGTCGAAAAGTATTCTACATACACTACCGCTTTTGCGTAATTGTATTGTCGAAAACGCTTCGTTCGTAGCCAAGAGACATGTCGATACATTACCGCAAAGTCGACAGCGTAGATGCGAGCTGCTGTTCGTAGCACCTTATTCCGTCATATTGTCTCTGGATTAAATGTATTCCTAATGTCACTTTTATAAACAAATAAAAGTTAAAACTTTACAATATTATTGTAAATTTGCAATTGGAAGCTACAAAAGGGACATTAGAATGTCAGCAAGGTCGGAACAATTTTCGATTTAAGTGGAATTTACGGAAGGTGCAAAGTGAATATATGAATTTTAATTGCATGTTTAAATTAATTATGGTTTGTTTCATGTTTTCTCAGAAATTTAAGGCTACAAATAAATACAATATTTTGAAATTGCATAATCGCGATATATAATAATTAGTAGTACTCATACTTTGATATTTTTAGGATTTGACCTCACAACTAATCTACAAAATGAAGAAGCAACATATTTTGTTACCGCTTAGAAGAAACAATAAAAATAGTACTGTGGATTGATAAATAAAAAGTGAAAATAAGGTTGACTAGAAGTTGATAAAGTCCAAGGAATTAAAAAACAATAGAAAAAAACGTAGACTAGTGTGATCACTGAAATTAGAGTTTGATTTAAGCTTTAATTAGGTTTGGTGTTTGTGCTTGAACATTTTTAATGTCAATTTGAAAGCAGATTTATATATAAGTGTAGATTTTATTAGTGATTTGCTACTAGTTGGAATTATCTCTGTTTATGTCCAACAAACAATTTCAGTTTAAGTTAGAGTCATAAATGTTGATTGTTTATAATATATTTATACTTTTAGAAAGTGAGAATTGAAAAACAGCAAGTACCTACTCAATGAAATGAAAAGAGGAATTAATAAAAATTATAAAATAGAAACTTAGTCTGGTATGAAATTATAACCCTTAATCAACCTTTGATTCCATATTGATGCTCCAACATCTTAGATATAATAGATATAAATTTAAGTTTGATGCTGATTTTAAGTTAATATTTATGTCAATTAACTTTTGGTTATATCAGTGATTTGCTACTAGTTAATATGTAAATGCAAAATCTGTTTAAGTAAGAAATGAATAAACATTGTATGTTATGTATTTGTCAGTTTTATTTTTGGTAATTTACCTATGTCTTCTTTAGTAGGAAAAGCCATTAAAGTGGTTCACAATATTAGTTTATTTTACAAGAATATACAGATAATGCATATATGAATTACCCATACCTACTAATAGTTAGGAATATTAAACAAACAGGTAGCAAAATAAAAATGTTTCAGTTATGGTTATTTTTATTAAAATGAGGCACCAAATATCTTCCTTAACATAATGCAGTCTACATAGAAAAATAAGCATATGTAACAACTTATTAAACAATACAGACATTACTACTGAACACACGCAGGTGCACCAAATTAAATGCATTACTACCTAATGATGTATTCATATATGTAGATAATTAACTAATGTAAGTGTTAATTTGCAGCAATGTCAATATCTTGTTTGTGTGCTGTTATATACAAAAAATTGTTCAATTCATAAAACCTAACGTTAGATGTTGTGATGATTTCATAAAATTACTATGATACCTACAGTTACTATGAATACATCCTGGGCGATTAAAAAAATAGTGATTGTTTCCTTAACACAACAATTGTAAATAATAATAGTTATTGTAAAGATATAATTCTTCCCAAAATCTACAAATGCAGTTTGTTTATAATAATATCTCATTAATATATCTATATCTCATCAAAATTCAAATTTAATTAAAAGATAAGACTTTAATAAAACTTGTCCATTTGTGGTTTTTTTAATACTTTTAGTTGTCTTTTTCTGAAAATAAAATATTTTAGTTAGTACTTTGATCAATAGGTAACTTTAATATTAAAAGTCTTTACTTCATTCTAAACTTAAAAATATACTTAATTTGTCACTTTGCTGCTTATTGTCAATTAAAGTTTTTAATAACCAAACAATGTCAGTAACTCCCAAAGGACTTGAATTAAAACTTCTCATTCATTAACAATATTATAATAACTTCTCTAGTATATTAACTTAGTAAATAATTAAAGAAAATATCTGCTTACCATTAAGTACTTAGTATTGCTCACTATATTTTATATTTCCAAAGTTCATGAAGTAAAAATCCACTTTATTTGATTAATTTAAATCAATATTATATCATTAGCTTCTATTATAATTACAATAAAATATATTTAGAACTTCTAATAATGTTCATTAGTGACTGCTTTCTCATCTGAAATATACAAATATTATGTAAAATCATTTTACTTTGTGATTACATAATATAAGCAATATTAAATGGTATATGTATTTTTCAAATTAAAGAAAAATAAAAGATATCCAATATAACTAGGATTTACCTCTACTAATTTGCTGATTTTCTTGATATTTTCATATTTATCTGTGTCTATTATGTTATCCTCGCATTGATTCAAAGAAAAACTAAAACTCTTAACTTAAAAATATTGACTCTAGTTTAAATTATTATAATTACACGAGAACGTTAAAAAAAGACAGATAACAAATTAAAACCATTTCGTTAAAATGTCCAATATATGACATGTTTTTTTAAAACGGTAGCCATTAAAGATGGCGATAGTTGTACTGAATTATTGCAAACAGCAGCTTTTGAGATCACGCTAAAACATGGCGGAGAAACGCCGTTTTTTCTACACTGCCGAAACATTAATTGGCCGTTGGCTACCGAATAGCGTAAGCGTTAATGTGTGTCTTTTCGTAGCACTGTCATGGCGTCGCTTATTGTATCCCGACTCACGCCTTTAGGGCCTAGGCTACCGACTGTCGACACGAGCTGTCATTTTCATACAAATTTAGTTTTCGACTTTCTACATACACTACTGTTAAGCCATCTTGGCTAGACCCCTGTTGCGTTATAAAGAGTGAATTAAATTTTGCGTTTTGTCTTAAACCAAAAAGATAACGCATTTTACGTTGTAGAGAGTTTTTGGTTATAATAAATCACGTTATATAGACTTTACACTGTAAAAATAAAAATCACTTTATTTGACGCAAAAACATTACATTTTGTTCTTATATTCCCAAGTTTGTAATCATACAATAGGCAACGAATCGTGGAGATACAATATTCATTTTGGTTAACCTTATACAGAATAATACACTTCTATAGTGTCTAGCGTTTAAACTAGGCCTTGCCTGTATCTTAAACGCCAGGAAAATTATAAAAAAAACCCTAGTTTTAAACGAAACTATGAACGGTACAGTTTTGTTGAAAATAAAGCATTGGTTCCTTAGCTGACAGTACCTTAATTTGTTAGTGGACGGCTTGATTCCCTGTAAAAATTATTTCTATGCCAAGTGTTTTTTTAATAATAATGAAATTTAAGAAATATATTTAAAAAAAAAAAAATACTTTTCAATTTAATTGGGACTGCTGAACTTTGAGAGCTGATAGTGGAGATTTTATTGAAGCTGCATCTATCAATTTTCCTGTCTAGTCTGTTTCTAGCCTGTTTTGTCATGGATAAAATGTTTTTTTTATTAAGGTTCTGTTTGTACTTTGTTTGGAAGGACTTTTCGTGGGATAATAAAAATACATAAAGGGATCAAGAAAATATCAATTTATTCACAGACCGAAACTTGACACAATGTGAAGACAGTAACACAACATAGCGGCCCTCAAAGCCAACATAACCCATGCGCCAGAGTCATTGGAAACTGGATAAATCAGATGCTAAGAGGCGCGGCGCAAACTTTCGATGATATCACAGTTTGTTTGTATAATATAAAGATAGGAAATGTCTAATGAAAACCCCTATATTTGATTAACATTGCGATTGCTCTTTCAATTGACGTGCTGATTATTACGGCCGTTACATTATAACAGATACATTTCTGTATTTTTTTAAATTGTAATATACAAAACAATAAAGCTACTATAGTGAGAAATCATCCGTGAAGATTCCAATAACACGCAGTTTCTGAAATCCGAAGGAAAGGTATCAATAATTCTCAATTCAGGCAGAGCTACGCTCGTCAAACAGTTCGAGCTGTCAAGGGCCTTCAGGCCTACAATTTTCCATATTTTTTTCTAATGCAATGCAATCTGTGAGTAATACCAAAATATTAGACATAACACTTAATATCCTGAAAACTAACAGATGACAAAACCCTCTAAAGGTCTATGGTCTATTCGCTGTAAATGCAAAATTGACACCTCGATAAACCAAATCGGCCCACGAACAGTGGAGCTCAGCAAGCAGCGTTTTAAGATACACAAAAAACGCGTCGAATTTATAACTTCGTCATTCGGCTTTTTTGAAGTCGGTAATAAAAGCTATGTTATTAGTAGCCTAAGACTTCCTCCATCTACCAAAATTCCTCTAATTGTTATGGATTTAGGCGTAAAAGTGTAACAAACGTGTACATAATATTATTCTTTTACACAGTGATTACAATTATCATGTATACAAATATTTTATAAACTGTGAAATTTATGCTAAATAGACCGCATTTTGTCTTTCTTTTGTATACATTGAGACACAAATGACAAATTGTAAGAAATTTTTATTATTGCAAAAAATATTTAAACATTTAAAAATAGAGGTTTATTTTTGAAGCTGTTCTTCCATATTTCGAAGAGGCATATCGTTGAGTGGAATCTGTAGAATATGGCTAGTGGCATAGAGACGTGTGTGATAATGGTCCAAGCCCAGGGTCCGTAGAATTCTAGATGAGCTGGTCTGAACTCGGCGCGATTCTGTAAAATATTTACTTAGGTTTAAAACTACTTATATAATTGAATTAATAATAGATAACATAATGTTATTGAAGTGAAAATTCTTTAGGCGCATGAGGGTAAATTTTTACGGAACCGTCACGAAGATATGCAGCGTTTTTGTCCGATTGAGAGAGATTGAGAAAGAAAGAATAGAAATTCTATTTTTAAAATTAAAATTTCGTAAAGAGAATTTATGAAATATTATTTTTATATTTTATGCAAAATAATTTATTTTTATATGTCAGTGTGACAGATACTGTCACACTGACATATAAAACGTGATACTGACACGGTAGGCAGGACTGTTAATAGACATAATATGCAGGTTTTCGAACTGCGCAGGCGACTGCTACAGGATCGAAAAAAAATTCTTTCGATCTTATCATTTATTACTGAACACCTTTCTTGTATCGCCATCCCATACTCGATACAGACATGAGATCGCACTGCGGGGGTTACGAGCACAGATTCTCTTGAGCAGGTTAAACAGTACGTATATATTAGAATTAATAAACATACTAAAAAAGTATCTACATTGGATATATAGCTTATATTGAAACTTTGATGTCTAATTATAGATTTGTTCTATTTAGAATCGTAATAAAAGTATATCGTAATCGTTATAGAAGTGTTATTTACAATAACATATAAAAACTATAGAAAAATTTATTATAAATGCTATAGATTTTATTTTATTTTTATTTCACTCTATTTTGCTCTCAAACATTGTCAGATACTTATGAAAATATGTTATAGAAAGGATATACACGTGTAAATGACATGAGAACTGAAGAAGGCGCTAACCAGATCCATGCAACTTCCTCACAATCGAGTAGCCCGCAATATCGCAGCTTACTCACGAGGGGACTCTTTGTATTGAAGAAGTCGCATGGGTCAAGTATCCCCGAATATATAATGTAAATACATAATTATGTAGGAATAAAGAAAATAATTAACACAACAAGGTTTTTAAAACGACTCGGTGAAAAGTCTGATGGAGTTGCTGAAAACGTCCACCGAATGATTTTCCATCACTTTTTTATTATCGACACAATCTGTTAACAGAACCATTAAACGATGAGCACACATTTTAAAATAAACTGTATAAAATAATGACCTTAATTAGTCCCTATAAATACCTTTTCTAATGTATTGATTGTCCACATAGCCATATTAGCAACCAGGAGGAATGTGACCAGCTGTCTTCCAGGTTTGTTTCTTCGGTGTTCTGAGGTATTGCTCCTACGCCACCAAGCGTCGATAATAAATAAAGATTGTAGGGTTGTCTGTAAACATATTTTTTTTTAAATCCTGTCCTAAGAGGCGACTATATCGACAAGAATGCGTAACCAATAAAAAATGGACACAAGAAAAAAACAAAAATGATTAACTAGGAAAAACAAGCTAAAGAATTTAAAGAAATAAATAAATCAGTGACTCAGCTTTCTGTATTTGTTTCATGATAATTTCTCAATCTAATAGGCAAGTCTGTTATCAGCCTCCTGTGCCTGACACACGCCGTCGACTTTTTGGGTCTAAGGCAAGCCGGTTTCCTCACTATATTTTCCTTCACTGTTCCAGCAAATGTTAAATGCGCACATAGAAAGAAAGTCCATTGGTGCACAGCCGGGGATCAAACCTACGACCTCAGGGATGAGAGTCGCACGCTGAAGCTACTAGGTCAACACTGCTCTAAAGCAGATAATTACTGTCGATACTAACAAATAATAGAACTTTTGTCAGTTCAATCGATTGACAATAAAAAAGGTCAGTTAACCTATGCAATTTGTTAACTAATGAAATAAAGCGAATCATAGGTGCCCTTTTCAAAAGGCTAGTCCTAGATGACTATGACAGGGTAAGATTCAAAGTAAAGACTCTTGTAAACTCGACTCTCCCGTACGACAAAATATATATATTGGTTTTTGACATTCAAAAGTCGATAGTTCCCGCTTTGACTTTGACTTTGAAATATTGTATATAATCTGTACCCAATTCAATTGTGTATAATGTTTACCAATAGAAATAAAATGAAAGATTTCGACGTAAGGTATTTTTAATTTATAATAGCATTATTTGACATGCGAAATAAAAATGATTATAATATACTATATACAGAAGGAAATACTTTTTACGTCACGTCTAAATTTGTGCATATCTTGCAAAAGTTATAATATACCTGGTTTAAAGAAAGAAACTCCGAGAAGAATCCAGTGAGTCCGGAGCTATTCTTTTTATCCATGGTGTGGTGACAGCCAATCAAACTGAACATACAGTAGACGAACATTCCCGACTGTGCCAAAATCAGAAGGGATGTGTCTAAGCCGAGAACCGCTGAAAGATACACCATAAATATAGAGATAGATAGTGAGGGCAGATTTTTCGGCGTCTATTAATTAATTTATAGATAAGTGATATGGCTTCTGTGCCTACCAAACCAAAGTATTGCGTCTAAGGGTAAGATTTTGTCAAAATCCAATGCGTATACATAATTCAGTTATTCATTATTGATTGATTTATTTATTTATTTACAATTGCCAATGCTCGGCACTCTGATATATTGGCACTCAAGAAAAACAAAATACAAGATTTAATGTGACAAGCACTTATAGGCAAACACGAACAGATAAATAAACCAAAAAATTAAATTATAAAAATTAAAGGAAAATTGATTTCTAAGTGAGGGGAGCAGCTATGGATATCCAGACCTAGAATGCTCAATCTTTAACTTTTGGCCAAAACACGTTCTTCTGAAAGGAGGAATAAGTGGGATGATGGGGAGGCCTGGGGTATCTAGAGGGTACACGAAATTTAAATTTAGTTAAAAGGCAATCAACCTGATTCTTAAATATTTTATTCGTAAACGATATATCAATTAATTGTCTTTGGAGACAACATCTCAAATTGCACTAGCCTGGTTTCCTATATTGGAAACTATTCGAGAAGTCACGGAAGAAAAATAGTATTAAGCTATTGTTGATATTAAAAATAGCAAATAAATAAATTATTGTTGTCAACTCTTAAACAAGACAGACAAAATGAATTAAGCATTTAGCAACATAATGTTTAAATATACGAGAAAATATATACCTTGCGATTTTCGTTTGTATGGTAAAGCCCTCATTTGTTTTAGAGCGATTACTGTCGCCAAAATTGAGAGCGTGTACAGAATCAACTCGCAAATGTTTACTTCGAATATGGCGTCCTGTGGAAAAATACTTTTAATTTTTTTTTGCAAAACAAGCCTTTAAATAGGCCTGAATTACTTATGTTCCTATTCTGATTTGGGTTATATTCTAAATTTGTAAGAACATATGTTGGAATTCCGGAATCTTCCAGGAGTGTTTATTTTTAAGGCTAATTCGTTTTTTTGGGCGGCAAACGAGTCTACGGGACGCCCAAAAAGCGTGGTCATCGCAGCTTACGACCTTTGACGGAGGAGAATATACTCATTTTTTAAACAATTGGAGGTCGTATCTCCCAGGGAAGACCCAAAACCTTTTAATGCATAATTATTGTTTAAGTGGGGATCAAAGCCTGGACTTCCAGTTATAAGCCGGGTGTTAACCATCCATCGAAGGCAACTTTTAAAAACAAGCGGCGCATTTATATTTTGGAAATAAATATCGCGTATTTAGGAATATTGTAGCGATGCAACGACGAAAGATTTTTTGAAAATTGGCCAGTTGTTCTCAAGTTTTTTCGTTAACATTGATATATATTTGTTTTTTAATAATTACAAATAAAAAAGGTACAAATGTAACCACTTCAAAAGCTCAGTAACACATTCGATGTGTTAACATACAGTCTCTGGGTTTCATCATCGGATATTTTTTTTCTATAGACAATAATCAACGCTTAATTAGTATTGAATTTTCTATTTTTCTATGGATCAGGCTTAAGACCTCACACAATTTTTAAAACATAAGTACTTACATTAACAGTATCACTGTTATTAGCCAAAACAAAGAACATTATCAAAGATATAATTGTCAGGACTATAACAAGGATGCCAGCGAACAGTCCCCTGTGAGCGTGAGAACAGTCTACGGAGAAGTTATGGAGTGCATTCCTGCTTCCATGTGGTGAACTGACACCAAGCATCCCAGCTAAAAAAAAATAAGCATCATATATTTACAAGTGTTTTATTACAGCCCGTCTTGCAACGGAACTGTGAGAGAACTTAGCGTTAAGTCTGACTTACGTACGTCAAAAATGTATTCAATATTGTGGAAGAGGCATACTTCTGTCACGTTACGTATCTGAATCTCACCTTTCTGTATGTCAAAAATGTTATGTAAGACTGCCCCATTTGTCTAGTTGTTTGATCTATTTGCAGGCCATGAGGTCTTTGGTTCGAATCCTGGATGAGACCGAAAATTATTATTTCAAGTTTTCAAGGAAGACTTTCCCTCTAAGGAATGGAATGTGTGTGTAATACTGGTGTTATCAGACAATGTGATCATTTCTTATGCCACATACACTCAGAACTCAGGAAATGGAGCAGTATATGACTGTGAGTATGTAAATAGATCTCCTGAGCTGCTACTACTCATGCTGCTAATGCATTGCTCCGTGTTGGTGAAAGAGTACAGAACTGACAGTGAACACTAACTGGCGATAATACAGCAAGGAGTATTTAGGGCAATATATCCAGCAGCGGTAGGACCCTATCATTAAATTTGCTACTAAAATGTCTTTAGTCATTTTCATAATAAAAACAAATTTCTAAATACAACGCTAAAACTTAAATATATAGTTTAAAAATCTGTGTTAAAAGTTAATAAAGAATGCACAAAATATTTTGTTTCCGATAATTACCAAACTGTTGTAAAATTTTCTCGGGTGTAACGGAATTGTTTCGCGACTTTTTTTCATAATTGCTTTTCTTTTCAAAATCTTCCGGCGTGCTCTTTACCTAAAAATAAATCAATATATAAGATTAACTCTTAAATGGTAACATATGATACTTTTGAATTATTTTTTATATGTTTTACATCGGGTTAATTAATAAAACGAAAAAAATATATAAGTAGCCTTACTGTATCTTTGTCAAGTATGTTTCAACCAAATTACAAAAAGATTTTTTTTTAAATGAATTGTATTTCTTTTTAACTCTTTAGTTTAAAAGGAATTTAAATTTTTACTATGGTGTAGACTTTCAGGAACCAAGGTTAAATCCCTTAGTGGTTTTCTTTATGTTTTCTGTTCTTTTAAGGAATTAAATATACCATCTGGTACAATATATATGTACAAAAAAATATAAACGATTTTAAAACAAATGGTGACTTTCACCAGTATAATACTAAAAACAGAACAAATTAAGCGTACGACCAACCAGGTTCCAGAAGATAAACCACTCCTTATATGGAAATTGTATTCGTTTTTACAACAAACTACCAAGCGAAAGTAGAGAATTATCACTGAATAAATTCAAAGCTCTCGTTAAACGTAAATTAATTAATAAATCTTTTTATAAATTTAACGAATATTTAAATGATCCTAATGCTTGGGATTTAGTCCAGTTCAAACAATGTGTATGATAATTTTTGACATGAGCCGCTTTTGATTGCGAGACTACAACATTCTTCTTCAAAAGTGTAGACTTTATGGAATCCGAGGATTGCCTTTAAATTGGCTGGAAAGTTACCTACCGGTCGTAAACAATATGTTGAAATCACACATACTTCATCTCCTAACATATTGAAAGGGGGTACAAGTCTGTGGCTATAGATTGCAATAAAGGCGTTCCTCAAGGGACATATGGTTCTTTTTGTACATTAATGATTTCCAAATTTGTTTAAAAATGCTTAGCGGTATGGTTGGTGAATATAGGTAACCAGAATCATTATTGAATGAAACAATAAAGAATTCACGGAATGTTGGAAATTAATAATTTAAGTATAAATGTAAAAAAACCAATTTTATACAATTTCGAAACTATAATAATTCAGACCTAATAACCTCAAAATCAATTATTGTGACGAAAAATTGCTCTTTGTTTAGTTTGTTAATAAATAGTGTGATGACTGGGGGGCGGGGGCGGGAGTGTGGGGCGCTTGGGGGACCACACTAACGCCGCTCGAAGTTGCAGTGACACTTTTTCGAAAATATCTTTTAATTTTCGCCTCGTATCACATTTGGTTTCGGCCGGATTGGACATTTATAGACAATTAGTGAAGTGTGTAATCGTATAAAAGTGATTTGAATGTAAGTTTTGTGTGCAAGTGAATATTAAGTGAATAGGCACGCCCTTTGTTTCCTTTCTGGTTCTTATAGTTGATACTTTTATTGGGAATAGTGATTATTTTATAGTTAAATTGGTATTGTGAAAACTAATAATATTTAAATTATTGTTGTTTCGTTTTATATTTAAATAGTAATAATTGTTTCTTTAAGTAGTAAAAATATACCTGTTAAGTGTTAGTGAGGTGATAAATAATTACTTAAATAGTTATGAAATAAATAGCTATTAAATTATTTGTTGATTGTTTTAAGTATTTAAATAAAATACTTGTTGAAATAGTATTATTAATGGTATTTTTTTGTATAGTGAACCACCTACGTTTAAAGTGAATGTTAGAGTAATTAATAGTTGTGTAATATTTTGTGAAACTATATTTATATAATATTAAAGTGTGGTTAGAAAATATTAGTGTGAATAATTTTGGATATTTTTACGTTGGTATTGAAACAAAAATAAAACAATAGTGTGAGTGGTATTATAATTATAAAATAGTATTTGTGTGTTAGTACGTAAACGTAAATAATTTTTTTTTTCGAGTAGAGTTCCTTAATAATTTTTGTGTAGTGAATAAAATTATATTTTTTTCTGGTTTGGGGTGGGTGTGGTTGAGTGTGAGATTTTTTTAAATTTATTAATTACTTTTTTTTCTCTCCCAAATATGAATTATAGGTGTCAGACGCCATGCCGTAAAATGGAGAGATCTAAAGAAGACATAACTAGAAATCCGCAAGCGCCAGCTCCTGATATGGCAGCTTCATATATCAGAGAAGTCATTACACGAATACCCTAAGGCTCCTTCGGAGAAGCGATCGGTGGTGAGCAAGAAGAGTGTGCAGCGGGAGAGGTTTAAAAAGATTAGCAGCTGAAGAATAGAAGAGGTGGAAGGCTTTCTGAAGCTGATTAGGGAGAAGGAGGGTAGTGAGCTGAAGTGGGGAAAATAAAGAATTAGAAAGAGATAATTTAGTTAAAGATTGGTTGGACTAACGATAGTCAAGATCATCAGAGTCGAGACACTTGTATCTGTTACTGAAGCCGCACGAGCGATGCATAGCCCAAAACCTATTGAATTACCTATTTTTAGCGGGTCAAGTAGTGAGTGGTTAGCGTTTAGAGCAGCATATAAGAAACTAGATAATTTCTTAAATTGGAAAATTTGGTGCGGCTAAGAAGAAGCCTGAAAGGAGAAGGAAGTGATTTTTTGTTTAAGAATGTGATGAGAATTTTGTCATTGGAAGAGATTTGGAGACTGATGCATTGTATGGAGATGGAAAGATTAAACAACTTTCTAAACTTTCTGATAATCTGTGATATTTTATTTTTTAGAAGATAGTAATATTGTAAAGTCATAAAGGCTTTAAAAAAGGAGTGATTTGTTTAACCAGAATTTAAGCTGTTGTGAGAAGAAAGATTGAGGTATTGGTATGATACGCTGGAGGCGATGAGGAAGAGGCGGATTATTAAATTGTCTTTTTCTTTTCCAGGGACCTTTGCAGTGGAGCTAAGTTGAAAATGTTCATCACTCGTATAAAAGAAGACCGTTTCTAACAAATGTGACATCTACTATACTGGAACGTCTATAACGCCAAAGAAAAAGCTATGAGTGTACCGTCTGTCATATTTACATAACATAAAAGACTGTAAACATTCAAAGATTTGGAGAGTAAATGTAGATGGGAGAAGGTGATTTGAATTGTAGATTTTAGACGTCGCAATAGAGGTGTTCCTAAAGCATGTGGGATGAAGGAGGCGTCTATTACTTGCATTTTTCAGGTCTCCTAGAGACGCAGTAGAACTCAGAGGAAAATAGTGTTGTAGTGGCTCGAAGAAAGTTGAAGTTTGTTAGATTTGAGTAGATTGAGAGGTCCCAAGGGGACCATACTAATTTGCATTGTTGATGAAGGGTATCAGTCACTTTATAGAGAAAGAAGTGGTTGAATGCTAAGGTAGAAGAGTTTTATTATTGAAGGGGTGGGGAGCAGTACGGAGGCTTCCATTAAGGAAGTGAGTCTTATATTAATGGTTCATGGATAAGGAGCAAAAATAGAAGCACGAACAATAAATAGTTTGAATTTAATCACCAATCGGTGGATGCAGATATGATAGAAGGTGTGATACCTTCTGGAAATAACCGAGGATCTTAATATGATGAGGTACACCTACTCTTCTTATTGGCCAGGACAACTGGCATTTGAATTTGAGGAAGATAAGAAGGGTGGGAGAGATAGTTGCAAAAGAATTAGGTTGGGTAACGGGCTATAAGGGTCCTGAAAAGTTAGTGTATAAAGTGGTAAATCATAATGAAGAAGAAGATGAAAAGAATGAAGTTAAATTAGAAGATTTGTTAAGAAGTTTTTAAGTATAGATTCACTAGGAATCGAACCAAAACGTCAAAAAAAGATAGAGGAACGCGTTAATAAAGAGCTACAGCACCGTCTTTATGACGTTTTGAATGGGTGTGGCGAAAGAAGAACTGATTACCAGATAAAAAAAGAAGAAGATAAGAAAAGAGATTAGAAAAAACCCTAGAGAAGATGGAATATAAGCAATTGAGTATCTTTTAGAATGTGGATGAGGAGGCCCACCTCTCGTGGATTGGTACCTACCAATTTGCCGGATAATCCATCAAAACCGAAACCGCGGTCTGGACTGTGCTAAAACGAATGGGATATCTTTGAATGACATGTTACTTACCGACCAGATCTGTTAAATCGCTACCTGGAGTTTTGATGCCTTTGACAAAGACCAGTTGCTGTGTAGGAGATATTCGTGAAATGTTTCTTCAAATCAAAATTAGGACTGAGGACAGGGATGCATTGCGTTTTTTATGGCGAGGTGATAGACGCGAAAATGAACCTCAAGAATATCGTATGACAAGAGTGATTTTTGGTGCGGCGTCTTCACCTTGTACTGCAATTTATATAAAAAATTTAAATGCTGAAGAATATCGACGGGAGTACCCTGAAGTGCAGATGCAATTTGTCGCAATCACTACATGGATGATTATCTCAAAGTTTTGATTTGTGGAAGAAGCTAAGCGTATAGCAAAAGAGGTCAGTTTTGTGCACCGTCAAGGAAAATTTCATTTACAAAATGGGCGAGTAACGAATTTGAAGTTATAGCGAGATGGAGTCGCAACTCCAGAATAGAAGTAAAGAAGTCGAGCTTCAAAATAGCTCATTAGCTCCGTTGGAAAAGACTTTGGGTCTAGTTTGGAGAACCACTGATGATCACCTTACTTTTAATCTGGATATTAAAAGGGCTAATCTGGAAGTACTTGAAGGGACCAAGCGACCCACTAAACGAGAATTCCTAAAAGTTATTATGTCTTTTTTGACCCCTTGGGTCTTATTACACCGATAACTTTGCCCGCAAGAGGGATATTACAAGATCGTGGCGCCTCGGTCTTTATGGGACAGCCTTCTTTCAGATGATTTGATGAAAATGGCTCGATGGTGGTCATATGAGGCAGTTAAAGAACCTTTACATTCCTCGTTGTTATCCAGGTGTTTGGTGGCCAATGATTTAGAGATGCACATTTCGAATGAAGAGACGGCGTATGTGGTGTGTAATTGGGGGTTAGGAAATGAAGATTGAGGGTCTCATAGTTAGGCAAAGGGTAGAGTGGCACCAATAAAATAGTTTCTATACCAAGATTAGAATTGCAAGCTGCCGTGCTTGGATGCCGTCTAGCCCGAAATGTGGAAACGGAACATGATCAAAACCAAGACGTAGAATATTTTGGAAGATTCTGTAAGTGCTCGCGTGGTTGCGCTCAGGTCCTGGGTGTTTAAGCCATTTGTTGCAATAGAGTAGCTGAAATAGAGGAAGAGACAAGAGTCAGTGAATGGCGCTGGATTCCCACTGGAGAAAATGTGGCCGATGATGCCACTAGAGATGTACCTCGAAATTTCAATAGGGATCATCGATGGTTTCGGGTCCCAGTTTTCTATATTCTCCAGAAGAGACGTGGTAAGGAAAAAATAGAAGAAGCGGGAACTGTACAAACTACAGGAGAAGAGCGAGTGACAGTTGTCGAAAGTTGTACAATTAATCATCTAATAACTGGCTTGCGTGACCAGATTTTCGTCCTGGTGCCCTAATAAGAACAACGGTAGAGTTTTACAGTTCATTGACTTATCCCGCAAAACTCAAATTACTGCTTCGGTTCAAATTAGACAGAAAATGCAAGCGAGGAATGACGACATTTTATGGAAGCCAAATGCATCTCGACCAAGATTACCATCACGTAACGCCCATTCAGCTAGAGCAGGGGCATATAGCTCAAATAACAATTATATTCCGTTAGACCCTCATTACATCATCAGAGCAGAGAGCTTGTGGTGGAAAGCTTCTAAATGAGAGTTTTGAAAATGAAATTATTTCGTTACAGAAGAAGCTTCCTTTGAGGAGAGACAGTCGATTGCGGACTTTAAACTTATCATGGATAATGAGGGTATAATTCGGTTGAAATCTAGAATCGATGTGCTCTCTATCTGACGACGAACAGCGAAGTCCTCAATTTTGGATGGTGAACACAGATACACCCGCTTGTTCATCATCTGGTTACATGTAAAAACAATCATGCAGGACCTGTACGGATGAATGAAGTTCGATCTGTTTCTGGGTGAACGATTGAGAACGGTTACTCGAAGTATTGTGAAGAGTTGTGTCCAATGCAGAATACTACGGGCAAAACCAGCGCAGCCTGCCACTGGTACCACCCGGAACAAGGTTGGCCCATCATCAACGCCCATTTTCTTTTGTGGGGTTAGACTATTTTGGCCCTTATAGCTTACGGTAGGCCGCCACATGAGAAGAGGTATTTGCCTATTTACTTGCCTTACAACTCGGCTATCCATTTAGAGATTGCAGGGTCATTAAGTACAGATAGCGCAATTATGGCCCTGCGACGTATGATAGCGAGACGGGGATGCCCTACAGAAATACACAGCGATAATGGGACGAATCTCCGCGGAGCTGATGCAGAACTAAGGAGGGCAGCGCATAAAATAACAAAAGATGAGGCGGAGGTAGGGCGATACGATGGCGCTTATTCCTCCAGGTGCTCCTTTCATGGAGGAGTGGGAGCGAATGGTGAGTCAGTGAAGAGGGCGCTGGCAGCAACACTAAAGGAAGCACCCGACAGAGGAGATGTTATTTGCTTTTAGAAGCAGAAATGGGGAAAATCCCACACTCCTGTATCAACTTAAGAGGACATCAACTTTAACACCGTTACACTTCATTTTGTGTAGAAGGGTTCACAACCGGGAGTTTTGTGACGTGACTTAAATCACGGGCGAATTTGGCGGCGTACACAACGGCTGGCAGATATGTTTTGGTCACGTGGACCAAAGAGTATTTATTAAACATTTTACAGTCTCGTCGAGATCCTACAGGTGAGGGAAGATGAGAGCTGGGAGATCTGGTTGGTGGACGGATCCCGCGAAATTCGTGGCCTAGGGGAAGGGTCGGGCGACTTCCCGGGCAAAGATGGGTACTCGCGTGGTCGAGGTGAGACTAAGGCTGGAGTACTTAAGAGGCCAACCAAGAAGATCATCGTGTTGACGGAGATGCGAGGACGCGCTGGGGGAGAATGGACGATAAAATTGCTCTTTGTTTAGTTTGTTAATAAATAGTGTAATGCATGGGGGGCGGGGGCCGGGGAGTGTGGTGTGTTCGTCTGTTCTTCGCTGAGGTCACTGACCAACTACACGCCGCTCGACATGCTTCCGCAGTGACACTTTTTCGAAAATAGTTTTAATTCTTGCCTCGTCATCAACAAAGTCAATTGAAGAAGTTGTTTCAACCAAGTTTTAGGCATAAACTAGACCAAAATCTTAACTGGAAACAACATATTTTAACGATATGACGCACCTTAATAAATTTGTTTTGTTTGAGTCGACTCGCAAAGTAGCTTCAAAACACGCAGCAATTATTGCTTACCACGGCTATGTTGCCTAGTTTTGCGTATGGTATCCTTTTATGGGGAAATTGGAGATGAGTAAAGTTTTTATTACTCAGAAAAAATGTATTAGGGCTATATGGGCGTTGGACCTCTATGAGTTAGGCCAATTTTCCAGAACTCGGATTGACAGTACCAAGTTTTATATCTTGGAAGCAGTTATGACTGTCAAGAAGTATCCAAAACTATTTAATACATACAAGAAACGTGCTTATATATACCGAGGGATCCAACACGGCTGCGGGTGCCTGCGACCGCGTAATTCTAAAAATTGAACGCATGGCTATAAGAATATTTAATCACCTTCCAGAGTTTAGTCGCTTCGTAATGTCTTCAAAGGAAGGTGATTGGTTCTAAAGTCAAGGTGTTTTATAGCGTAGGCGAAATTGGTAAGTTGACAACAATGATAAAAGCTTGACGATTATCATGACATTATGTTAATGTTTTTATTATATGAATAGCAAAAATTTATGACATTTGCATGCCTATTATATATGGTGGTCCGGTATAAAAAATAAATAATGTGATTATAAAATCACATAAGGCTTGAGAAAAGTAAAATTCTAATTGTTAATTATGTAAGATAAATTTGCACGCTATTATATGTGGCGAATATGGGTTAAGATTGTACAACCATAAGATTTTTATACCATATTCTTGCAAATAAATGTATTATTATTATTATTATTATTATTATTATTATAAAAAACTTAGCGATTAAAGAGTGGGGAGAATTTCTTGCCATTACTTCTTGCCAGCTCTACGCCCTTGACTTGCGAATTGGCATTAAATGTAAATTTAGAATCAATTTAACATCTTTTCTATTGACGTTCATATGTGTATTGTTTACCTATATGAATAAAGTTATTTTGAGTTTAAGTTTAGTATAAATTAAGTAATAATAAAAAAACAAAAAGTAACAATTAAGAGCCTAAACTGATTTAGTTTTAACGAATAGATTGCCTGCTATTTTGACTAAATAATTGAATTTAATAGACAACACTTTATATTCAATATGAATTGTAATAACACCAACAATATATAGTAAAAAGCAATCACCTCTTTCCACATTTCATATAAAATAACAGCGCAAATGAGGGAATATTCAATCGTGCAAGGAAATAGGAATGGGGAAGCGTTTTGTACCAACGCTCCCATAATATTAGATCTCCGGCATGGCATTTCTGTTGTATTTTCCGCGTTATTCTTCGATAGAGAGCTCTCTAGATGATGCATTTCGTGCTTCGTCTCAGCAACAAGTACGTACAGCCATTCGCAGAGGTTCGCGGCTATCATGTGCATAAAACCGAATCTCTGAATCAATTTATTGCTGCCCGACTCTATATCTTTGTTGGTGAAGAATATAAACTGCATTTGCGCGAGGGTCAGAGCCATACGAAGAGCTGGAGTCATAGCCGAGAGAACAGAACGGCAACCATGTGTTATTTCGAAGTATTCGCCGAGTTCCAGGCCGCTGTATACCATCGAACCAATGCCGAACGCTGAAATATAATTATAAATGGAGAATAATTAATTTAATTATAAATATGAGTTGAGACTCTTGGGCTGTGGGGTTCAAGTGCACAGGCGCTAGTTTAAGATTTAAGTTGGCGCCTGGTAGATAGTACCGGTGACCCCAGAGCTGCTACTTTTCATGCTCAACGAATAAATATCGCAGTTCAGCGAGGAAATGCTGCCAGCATTAAAGGGACAGGCACCAAACTTTTTAAATTTGTTCATTTTTAATTTTTTTTTATTATTACTATGTAAGTTAACAAAATTGTATATATTGTGTGAGAATTAATGATAAATTAATAATAGAATATAAATTGGTCTTTGCAATATGAGTCGTTTATAATTTAACTCGCCATGTTTTTATGTTATTTTATTATAACTATATTTAAATTTCACTGATTAAACCGTATATCGTACATACCGTTATGGTTTTATATGTTCCGTGAGGAAATAAAATATAATAGACAGAATTAAACAAATAATTTTGATTTTGTCATACAATTTAAAGTTCATAAAAACTACGCCTTGTATTGTCATACTTCAACAACAGAAACAAAACTTACAAAATATCACATAAACATTATTTTAATTATTCAACACACTTTCAGGTAAGTCTTTTCTTTTGTGCGTGAAAGAAGAACTTACACATTACTTTATTACTTTAGACTTACTTGATTCTAAGGGTACAATTCTATTCAATATTATTATATTATAAGTATTATGTTTGTGCCGCCCGCTATTATCGAGGCCACACATTGGTTATCAATTTTATAATTTGTTTCTTTCTTTTCTATTTCTGTTGGGGCGGCTAATTAATAAATATGTCTAAACTAACCGATAGCTCCTAATCGTAAATAGAAACTGCCATATCGAGTTATCACTTCCTTCTGTTTAACCTTCTCGTTTGGAGTGGCTTTACCATTCCTCTCATCCTTATCTACCACACCTGAAAGATTGATAGAGATTATTTTTTAATTAATACCTACCTAACGATAACACTAAGTAATCGTTCCCTCAGTGCTTTTGTACTACCATAAGTTCCCGTTAATTGTGCTCAAAACAACCATTGGTCTAACCCTGCTCAGTCTTTAAGTATATATGAGTCTTACACGGTCGTGTGCTACAACCGTTAATGAAAGTGGAGACTACCATTTAATTTAATGACAATTCAAATGGCAGAACGCTAGTTGGATACATAAGATGGTATTCTTGGCTGAAGCAATTATGCAAAGGAGATGTGTTTTTAATGTCGCATTTTGTTACGCAAATTACGGCTAATTGCGCTTAAGATTTTTGTTATATTTTGTAAATTGTAATAAATTAAGTTTCTTTATTCAATGGGCAGGATGCTGACTGATAGGAAATAAATAAATTGTTTAATTATTAATTGTAGCTTCGTATTTCAGGTTGGAAGTCTGTTGTTATGTGTGCAATAGTGTTTAAATAAATGGGCAGTACGAGATTGGTTTTCAATAATATTTAATAAGTTTGAATCCCGGGCGAACACTTCCATATAAGTAAAGAGCTAAAAAAGTAATTGCCCCTACCACCCTTGACCTTAGATTTAAATCTATTTCGTCATATTGTCTGTCAAACACGCTGCCGACTGTTTGGGTCTAAGGCAAGCCGTTAAATGCGCACATAGAAAGAAAGTCTATTAGTGCACAGTCTGATCGAACCTACGACCTCAGGGATGAGAGTCTCATGCTCAAGATACTAGGCCAACACTTCTGAAAAGTTATATAAAATTATATTACCGTGATCATGAATTATCATCGTAACAGCCTTCTGACGCATCAGATTCACATATTGGAATATCACGAACAGTAAAGATACTAAGTACAAGTATAAATAGAATCCCTGTAAAAGAAATATTATGTTATTACAATATTATATAAGCTATTTTTATTTGTCTGTATTATTTATGGTTTTGAAGCAAGAAGGTTTTAAATTCGTGTATAGGGTTCGGTTTTGTATGCTCTGATCATTTACTCAACAAATGTTTAATAAAAGAGATGCGTCTACCCCATTCCCCATAAGCAAACTTATTGTTGTACATTAATAGTTGGTCATTTTATTTTAAAATTCAACTAAGAATCGTATACTTTACTCCGATGATCCACCATCAAAAACAATGGTCAATAAAGATTTTTTTTTTCAAATTAATAGCATAAGCCTTGACTTGTTGCAGCTATTGCGGAATATACATAAAAGGAGAATATCCACAGCGAAAAATCATCTGCATCTTGAGCACATCCCACATATACACCCTCACGTACACCATCATACATCACAGCTGAATTAGGTATTACTTAGTTTAATTGTATTAAATAATTTTTATTTTTTGAATAGTTTTTTTCCTTCTGTAATATTTGAACCTTTTTGTTTATATTATGTATTCTATCTTGGCTATATATCTTAAGTATAATTGTTTCTTATTATATATATATGTTAGCTGTAGGAGTACGAAGTAAATTAACATAAAAACGTCTCTGGTACAGTAGTTAAAACCTATATGTTACCTTATTAGAATGCGTTGTATATATTGAATATGTAGAAGTTCTGACCTAGTATTTAATAAGATGCATCCTTACCTGGTAGTAGGCGTCTGGGACGCCATTTGCAATAACTTCAGTAACAGGAAATGCAAGACCGAGAACAACTAATAACTTCGCATATAGTGCGGATAGCGCTTTGCTTAACGCTTCACTAGAACAAAATATTATATAACAGATTTTAAGTTAACTGTAGTTAACTGGGACACCGTGCGGGGAGTTGAGAAGTGGAATAACACTTTAATTTAACCCAAAAACAAAATAAAGGAAAAAAGGCAGATGATACAAAACTGGTTGCAGGCAAGGTTTGATGAAGAGTGGGAGGAGAGGGCAGAATGTGGGGATCCGCAAACGAATTTGACTTAAAAAAAAAGTTATTGAAGTTCACATCATATATAATGCTACAAGCTATCTCTTCAAAAATATATGGCAATTATGGTAAACGTAAATGTTACAAAAATTAAAGTCAAAATAATAAAAATATTGCACTTCCAATTTGAGAATATAATAGTAATTTTTTTAACAACAAGCATAGCGGATAAGTTTTTCAGATTTCTTAACAATGCTTTATTTAAATTGATCAGCCCACCAAATATATCAAGCTCTGGAAAAGTAGTGTTAATCCGTTATATTCGCGAAGAATTCGAATAAGAGATGACCTGAGAGGTGCCTGCCCTGCGATTCTGTAACTCACTTTTCGAACTCACAGGGCGGTTTTCGCATCGGCGGTCGCTCTCAAATCAGTCGTGAAGCAGTCATTTTATGATTTGGCATTCTGAAAAGGTGGGAGCTTGTAGTTTATTGTTTATCAGAATGCCAAATCATAAAATGACTGCTTCACGACTGATTTGAGAGCGACCGCCGATGCGAAAACCGCTGTGTGAGTTCGAAAAGTGAGTTACAGAATCGCAAGACTGAACGGGACGACAGTATTAATGTTCTCTTACAGGTGTTTAAAACCCCTTTTATTTGTTTAGTGAACCTCCTGAAATGGAATACTCTACTTGCACATGTTTATGTACATGTTGAAATTCATTATTTAAATTTCTCTGGACTAGAGTCCATTATATAATTGGTCAAAACCGAATAAAAAGTCACCGAAAGAATGATAAGAAGATGAAGAAATATATTCGACGAATGTAAATTGCAGATAGTGAATTCATTATTATTGACGTCCCGTTCTTATCTTATAAACACAGACGGATAATATTCACGTTTTAATTAAAATAATATAATGCGCAATGGGTCAATTGTCAACAAACGTACATTCAAAAGCAAGTCTTTTGGCCAATAATTTTTTTTAAAGTTTTTTATCCTTATTATTTGTAGTAATGATTACTGCCACCAATTATAATACAGGGATTCCATAAATAATATTTCATACCTATATCTAATAATGGGGCAGTATTGGAAAATTGTGGTGAGGAAGAGAGATAGGTGGATGAATTTGGAGGTGGTCTTCACTTCGTCGGAGGTCGAGTACGAGTGTAAAACATAATGACATGGACTTAATGTAATCTAATGTAGTACTCGAATAAAGGCTATTTTTATTATATCCCGTTTAACTAATCATAATGCACACGACAATATTTTTCAGAACCATTATTATTATTTTTTATTGTATATATAATCAGAAGAAAAGAAGTTTTTTTTTTTTTTTTTCCTTTATGGCTCTGGCACGGTCTGTGCATTAGCCAGCGTCAAGTAGGTAGAAAAGAAGTTTACAATAGTGTAGTGGAAACAAAAATTTGGATACAGTTAATCGTATTAAAATACACAAGCTACACAAGACAACAAAAGAACACAGACGATTCTTAATACATGAAAATTGTATGTAATTGGTAATATATTTACTAGATAAGGGTGATAAAGAATATAATATTACATATTAAAATAGAAATAAACTTACTGTCCTAGTATTTCTGCAGCGGAAGGTGGGTGGTCGTGTGTGGATGCCATTGAGTTCCGTGAATGAGGCTGCAGCTCTGACAGGAACCGCCGTTGTGTCGCGGCACATAATGCTAGCGCTTGTGACGGTCTCCTGAATGCGGCTATTATAGCAGACGGACGCCTATAACGGATAAAATTTCTATAGTTACGTTGGACTTTACGAAAATCGTCTGTCAACACAACATCATGAGTCTTGGTATGGGTGGGAGAATTTGTTTTTAAAATTATTATTTATTACTATTAGAGACACAAAGACATTACAATATATTTTGTATCTAAGATAATAACAACAAAATGCACAACAAAAAACAGGCACTTTTTATCACCTTACTCACGCAGGAAGCTATAATTTTTTGATTTTAACAGGCGGCCTACGTCTTGAAGATGGGATGATGGAGACTGTTTTAATTGACATTATCTAGTGCGAATACTAAATCTTAAACAAATAAAACATTATTTAGTTCGTCATACAGCTAACATATAACATATATATGTATAATAAAAAACAATTATACTAAAGATATAGCCAAAGATGGAATAGATAATATATACAAAAAAGTTCAACCATTTACGAAAGTAAGAAATCAATCAAAATTATTACATACACTTAACTAAGTAATACCTAATTCGGCTATGTGGTGTGTTGGTGTGAAAGTGAATAAATATACATGAATGTGTGTATGTGGAGTGTGCTCATGATTCAGGTCATTAGACTCTTCCGAGTGTGTGATTTGTGTGTATGAGTTCCACTCCTAGATTCGTACCTCGTATTTAGATTTGCCGCTAATTTTATATCAGCATCACTAGACATTCTTCGACTGTTTGGTTGTGAATGGGAGCTTTGGATAAGTGGTTCCACGGCCGGACCCACGACTGCGTGAGTCCGCTCCCTGAGTCGTGCCACGTCGGAGTATGATGATTCGTCACTGAAAAGTATATAAAATTAACTACCTGCTAACACTGTAGTGTGTCTAGTGAATTTTGGTCATACTAATATTGCTATTCAAATAGGTTTGATGGAAGAAGGGCGAAAATAAATGAACAAAATAAAATATGTCCGAAAAAATAAAAATAAACCTGGGACTCCCAACTTAGTAAGTAAGTTAGTTTACAACCTATTCTAATATCGGACTACACAAAAAGTAGTTATATAATCCCGTGTGTCACCACCATAGGATAATTATATTTTATATAAACAAAAAACCATTGCAACATAGTAGTACAAAAGATCCTTTATATTTCAATAGCCGAAATGCTGTTACATGATTTACGAACCACACTTACATGATTTACGAACCACTCTTAGTTCTTACTAAGTAACGTTTCCTTGTAGAGCGTGAGAAAATGTTCAGCACAACGGTCAGTAGGCCTTTAAGAATAGGATAAAATATAATAGAATACTTGTAATATTTAGTATTAAACGGACCTCAAATCGGACCGGTCGTATTCATTTTAACTTTAAGTTTTTAAAAACCCTTATTTCGCGGACCCACTACTTGACTGGCGCTGAGGACAGGATAGTGCTTAGCTGCACGTACTTCTCAATTATCGGTCGAGATCAAATTCTGCTTACCTAAAAAGGGGAAACTACGTCGCGATTGCTAAAAACGGCTATTCAAAAGAACAAATAAATTTGTCAAGAACGCAAATCCAAAAGCGTTAAGGGTGTTTTGGCGAGGAGGCAGCGATGTACTGGTAAGTCACCTTTTCACCTTTCAAATCCAGCCCTCTCCACTTTTCTTTTTTATTTGAGATCGACATCTCTCATCTTAACGATAGTTTTAAGACTTTTAGAGTTAAATTCATATAAAGGTAAATTGTAATAAGTAAATTAAAGAAACATAGAAGTAAGTAGGTTAGTGCATGAAATTCTGCAACCCCTAGTAAGTATAAGTTTAGATTCACATCAAATTCTGTGAGCTATAATTATTGAGTAATTGTGTAATTATTTAATCAAACAATTCCTGAAAGAATACAAAAACCCAAAAGAAATATTTTATATATTTCGGAAATACGGAACATCGCAAACAATTCAGCAACATGGTAATTAGGCTTTTAAAAGGTGTATCAATTCAATTTTATGAGTGTACGGAAAGAATCGTTTTTATTTGACGATGAAAATGAACAGAACGCCGTTATTCTGAAATTTCATCTCGGAAAAACCTGTCACAGAGGTATTCAAAAACTTTTACTCGCATCAGGCGACACTTCTTTTGGAATAACATGAAAGAAACTATATCAGCAGTAATTAATTCTTGTGAAGCCTGTAAACATATGAAATAGACCGAAAGCCTTTGAAACCATATTTACAGTTAACTCAAAAGCAACATGCCCCATTCAGGAATTATTTATAGATATATTTAGTATCGAAGGAAAAACAAACCTCACCTTAGTTTACGCTTTTAGCAAACTAAGACAGGCAATTGAAATTACTATCAAGGCACACTGACGTTTCCGCGCACTAATAAAATACTTTTCATTTTACGGCATACCTAAGAAAATAAGCTGCGACTCTGGTACTGAATTCAACAACGATCTATTGAAAGAAATGATGTCACTCTATAAAATCCAAATACATATAGACACACCTAGGAACCCTAATTCAATGGGAATAGTTAAACTTTTCATCCACTTTAATTGAAATTTACAGACTGACAAAATACGAACAAAATGTACCGACGCCGCATCTATTATATCACTCATCATGGCATATAATAATGCGATTCATACTGTAACAACTTTGTACCGTTTGAAGTAGTGTTTGGCCATGTAGATTTGAAAACGCATTCAATATAGACTTCGAGAAACGATACTTGCAAAAATTAATTAAAGATCACGCCAAAGAATAAAAGTTTTATACAAAATCATATCTGATAAAATGTTAACGTTTAACGAAAAATTTAGAGAAAACGCGGTGGCGAATCCGACGTCCCGTTACCAGAAGGGAAAACAATTTTCACAAAATTAATAAACACTCGTAGAAGTAAGTACAAACCTTGTTTTGAAAAAGGCCATAGTTACAGGAAAACCTGAAAGAAACACCATCCCTATTAAAATTAGAGGTAAACACAAAAAGGTACCAATTAAAAACATAAAACGACCTCCAAAGGTGGTGCTTAGTGATCACGATGACACTCACGAGCCCCAGCTTGGGCCTTCAACTTCAAAAGGTTGAAAACAATTCAGGGATCCGTAAGACAGGGAACATCCTTCATCAAACAGGATAACTGGCTTATTTTTAAGGATAGATTTGAATGGCCTACTAATGGAATTAGAATATAACAATAGGAAATATAGTAATTTTAGTAAGATAGTAAGTGATGATAAGCTAGTTTAAAGAATTTTTAGGAATTAGGAACAAGTAGAGATTTGCAAAGAATAACTACTGAAAAGATTAGGCAAATAATCCCTTACCCGAGTACGAAGAGGAATATTGAACCCTCTAGGCTCTATTATAAAATGATAACTGGAAACTTAGATCAGGAAGATGTCAACGATATGAACAGTTAAAAATCAATTAGGTAATCAACAAAATTTCCACAAACAAGGTTTAACGTTTTTCAAAATGTTAGATGGACTCATTAATTCATCAGAAATATTACACAATAACTCAAAAATTATGGACGAAAGACAAACGTGTAGAAAAAAAAAAATTTAAAAGACATAAGTACTAAAGAAAATAATGCAGTATACTCTACATATGTTTTAAGTTTATATAATCTTTTTGTAAGTAATTTTAGAACGTTTATATAAAATAAGCGAATTAGAAATTGCTTTGGCTTTCACCAAAACCAATGTTTTATTTATACAGATTTTAATTTATATATCACACCCTCACACCCACTTGGGATAATTTAGTTAAATTAGAAGATACGATTAATGTTAAATCATACATGATAGACAGGAAAATAACTTTTGTATTAGAGGTAGCTTTAATAACCAATTCAACTTATAGTTATAATAAAATGTATCCCTTACCTATCTTTCATGACCCTAAAAACCTAACCTTAATAATCATTCCTAAATATCCCTATATCCTGGTGAAAGGTGAACATACTTACCGCTTATACAGCCTTGCAAACAAGTTTGAGGAAAATTTATTATCTCTGCACACAAGAAAACAGGGGCACCGTATCCTGAAACGACATGCATTGAGGAGCTGATGACCTTCAAGGAAAACCCATCCAACTGTGACCAGAATACAGTAATTATAGAAGAGATTAACCCTGCGATCTCAACATCAATGACATCCAATTACATCATCAGCGTTCATATACAGAAAATATGTCATCAGAACGTATCCCATCCATTGCTCTGGAGTTACAGTCAACAGTGAACTCTAAGGAAAATCAGAATCCAGTAAACTTACAAGGAATGGAGCTCAGTGACCGGCAACAATGTCTTACATGCTGTAACAACTTAAGAGATAGTGAAGTGAAATGGGCAATTCAGTGAAAGTGAAAAGCATTGTTTAGGCACTTTTTATTGTATTTTGTAATTTGTGTTTTTTTAAAAAATAAGATTATTAATATGTTGAGTGGCGAAATAATCAGAATTTGCATGTGCAATCCCCTGATAATTTCGCTCTTAAGGAGGAGGATTATATAATCCGTTCACCACCATAGGATAATTATATTTTATATAAACAAAAAACATTGCAAAAGTAGTACAAAGATCTTTATATTTCAATAGCCGAAATGCTGTTACAGTTTACGAACCACATTACATGATTTACGAACCACTTTAGTTCTTACTAAGTAACGTTTCTTGTAGAGCGTGAGAACAATGTGTCAGCACAACGGTACGTAGGCCTTTAAGAATAGGATATAAATATAATAGAATACTTGTAATATTTAGTATTAAACGGACCTCAATCGGACCGGTTGTATTCATTTTAACTTTAAGTTTTTAAAAACCCTTATTTCGCGGACCCACTACTTGACTAAGTACAAACAATCGTCACCGTTTCGGAGGTGTATTACAAACACTGTGACAGAGTAAATATCTAGTTTTGCACATTCTCTTAATTCATATCTAATCAAAAAAATTTAAAAATACATTTTGGTTAGGACAAGCTTCTGTTTGACTGATAATAATCGTACCGCTATCTGATAAAAAGCTAGACTGTTATAAAAATATTGTAGAATAATGTTTTGCCAATTTCGATAGAGCCCAATAATCCCGTCTAATGACGAAACCAATGATGGTATAGTTCTCTTAATATGTCTATAGCACTCAAAAGAAAGGTAGGTGGTGCCGAAACAATAACGCTCACACAACGATGGACCCGTTAAAAAAATCTATGCTTTAATGGAGATCTCGGCAGAACAAAAGACCACGCCGTCGCCCACCGACTAGGTGAACTGACGACATTGTCAAGGAGGTTCGCTCCCAGTGGATACAGAGAAGCCAGTGCAGGGTGTACTGGAGGAAAATTGAGAAAGCGTCCTGAAATGCACCAAATAAAGAGGATGATGTTAACCTGTAAAATATTTCCAAGATGGTCCCCTAAAAATTATTGTTTTTTTTAATAGAACAGGGGGCAAACGGGCAGGAGGCTCACCCGATGTTAAGTGATAGTGATACCACCCCCCATGGACACTCTCACTTTTAAGAATTGGTAAGCTCTTGGTACGTTGACGGTGACTCATGTTTTTTTTTTCGTATATCACTTTAATTATTATTTTTTTAATTCTGAATATTGAAATTTATCGTTATTGGATTTCACGTGGTAATATTACAAGTTTCAGTTTTTTTACTGAAATATAAAAAAAAAATACAAAACTAAAATCAAAGAAAAATAAAAGGACCATAATGGTTGATTACGTCATAGTGTTGTAGTAGTTTTTTGTGTTTATTTAAGATCTTAATACCCTAAGTGATAATGGTGGACCAGCCCAACTTGTTTATTCGAAAAAATACATATATCCCTTTCACATATAACATACGTATATGTAACGCTTTAGTCTATAAGAGAAACGTACTCTAATATTAAGATGAATTATAACACGAGATATCATACGAAATTACTTGTGTTTACTTGTTTCACTACATCGAACATTTTAACTACTAACTTAATTAGTACTGTATATTACATGTCAAAACGTTTCCTGGTTAGCTAGTATTGTAATCTATTTAAAATAAATGTTTATTTTAAAAGCATAACAAACCAACAGCTCGCATTAACTCGCACAAAGGAGTCTATCAAATGTCATAAATATTTCCGAAGCGTTGTGCACCGAAATCTACACATTCACATTTTCCATAACGTATTCAATTTTGTGTACTCGATTTTCTATGAAAGCATCTGTATTGTTATAAAATTTACCCTTTTATTGTCTATGCTATATAGTCTATGAAGAATCTAAACGATTTAACGCTGACATTTAATGATTAACATATATAAACTTTTTAGATAGGTTCTCATTCATTCCTTAATCATTGGCATTTTTCAAATTCCGTCTGCAATTCTTCTGGATTATAACAGAATAAACAGTACTTATCCAGAGCTAGATATATTCGGTAGTGGGCTCATCAATTTTAAAGAAATCATTGTTAAGTGCCTATCTCTTATCTAATTCGCTGTTTTGCTGGTAATTTTTTGGTTTCAGCAAAACATTACTAGTATTTTGATTTTGTTATAATTTTTTGTAACATTTATGAAAATTGTCGTAAAAAAAGATAGCTATACTATTGATATAGCATTATGTATGATGTGGTAACCTTCAATAAATAAATAGCTGGGCCCGATTTGCTATACCTTTTATTTATATTATATAGAAACTAAACCGTCCTGATGACAGTTTTTTAACTAATACTTTTGTCTCTTTCTGTCAAATAAAGTTTACGCTGTGATAAAAAGAGACATAAGTACTTGAGTTAAAACGGTGTTACATTTATTTTTTATAAAAGCTTAAAATGACTTAAGTGTATCTAAGCGACAGAGCATACAATTATTAAATACACTGAGTTCTGAGGTCATACCTAATGTTTATTTATATATTTATAGAAAAATGCTAATGATAAATACATATATATACACTAGCAGAGACGGCCAAGCGTTGCTGTGGCTAAGGTTTTTGTTATATGACATAGTAGTAAACTATTAAAGGGAAACGGTAGGAGCACACCATTGGGACCACCATGCTTTTTTGGTGGTTATGCCATTAAATTGTAGCTTATGTGAAATGTTAGTACTTTCAACACAGCGCCATCTGTTAGAATTGTGACTGTCAAATAATAAACAAATAATATGCAATAAAATTATATTAAGATGTAAGCCATCCTATCTTTAAAGTTAGATCAAACTGCACACGGTGTGCAAATTTGATTGAAATCGGTTAAGTAGTTTAGGAGTCCATAGCGGACAACCAACGTGACGCGTAATTTATATATATTAAGATATAATATACAATTTTATAAACAAATTGATGTTGTATTATTATCCTAATATTACTTTTTGTTATAAAATAAAATGAATAAGAAAATATTGGTAAAGTATACTGTATCGAGTGGAAAATCTTTCAAATCTTTTCCAGGAAATATCCTTCAAAGCTACACTGGCTTTCTGTATCCATTGAATATAATATATGGTTATATAATTCAATGCTCTGTCAACTTTGAATAATATTTATTTTTTGATGAAATATTAATGCATTTTAGGCATCGTGATTATTTAAAACTTAAAATATTTCAATTATAATTAATAGAAATTAATTGACATTGTATATTTATGTAAGAGCAGTGTTAGCCTCAGTGTTCGACCCTCATCCCTGAGGTCGCAGGTTCAATCCCCGGCTGTACCCCAATAGACTTTCTTTATATGTGCGCATTTATTCGCTCGAACGGCGAAGGAGAACATCGTCAGGAAACCGGCTTGCCTTAGACCCAAATTGCCGTGTGTTGGCGCTGATAACCTCCTTGCCTATTAGATTGGTTATGAAACAGATACAGAAATCTGAGGCCCATACCTAAAAAGATTGTAGCGCCACTGATTTTTTATATTATATTTATTATTATTTATATTTATTCAACACTGCAAAACACTAACCATTTTGTTAAGTTCAATTATTTTATAAGGAATGTTTTAATTAAACGTCACAATTTTATAGCATTATTTAATGCAAACGATATGCGTGCACTTGATCTTCTGTTATCTACGGCCCTGGTACAAAAGACGTTTCAAAGAAACTTTAATTAAGTTTCCATCGCTTACATCCTTTTACAATATATTTTGTTGTTTGTGCAAACAAATTTCAGTTTTGTTATTTAACCATTAATAAAAAAATAAATCAGTAATATTCCACTACAACTTAAGTAGTATTTTGTTTCTTTCTGTTAAATTATGTTTACGCTGTGATGAAAAGAGACCGGTGAGGAAGTTAAAACCAAGTAATTAGACCAATTTAAGTTGAGAAAGAATTCTTGAAGCACAATAAGATTTCGCCTACATTGTGTTCTATATATACATACAATGTTACGTAATTTGTATTTCAATCTCAGTTTTAATTTAAAAAAATCTCGTTTAAATCTCGTTGCCTGAAACAAATAATTCAGAGTCTGCATGACTTACTGGTTTTTATATACCAAAGGTTTCAATTACTAGTTAAGTACATAATTCCTCTTGCCCCATTGGCATTTGAATGTTGTATGCACAGAAAAATGCATACAACATCTATAAAAAAATACTGAAAACATCGTAAAAATGTTTCCAGTATTTTCTAGAACGTTCTAGAATGCTAATCTAAGAATTTAAAGTTTTAAATCATACGCGATTGTAGAGATAGCATACATTATAGTTGCATTGTCATTTTCCTTTTTGAATCAATGTCTTATTATGAACATTTTAAGGGTTAAGCCCTTCAGATATACGGAGACTATGAGAACTATAATAAGACTATATATCAAATTTTAGGCAAGATACTAACTGTATTGAATGTTAAAATTAGTAGAATTTTAAAAAGGTTTTAAAATAGAAACCTTTTTGTTGAGTTTAAGACTGTTTTCGGTCAGCCACTTTTCAATCTGCTACTAACTTTGATTAAAAAATGATAAAAATTACATAAGCTTGAATAAATCCTTATTTAAAAATTTCTTTCATTTTTAAATTAAAGGCATAAATGCGTCTTATTCCATTTTTAAATAAAGTAAATACAATCGATTCGATTTTTAAATAACGGACATACAAACGTCTTATTTTAATGCACAACCCGTGCCAAAGCCATAAAAAAACGTCTTATTTAATTTTTAAATAAAAGAAATAAATGCATCGACTTCGATTTTTTAATAACGGACATACAAACGTCTTATTCCATTTTTAAATAACATATAAAGAATACCTGTCATTGTCGTTCTCCTCGTGTACAGTGTCCATGTCGGTCACAGTGATTGTAGGCCGCGATTCGCTCTGATCGCCGAGTGAGCGTTTACTTGGACTCATCTGCGGAACATATATGTTTAACTAAAAGGCCGAATTAAGACACAATAGAGGCTATTATTCATAATGTTTTCGGTTGCAGGACATTATGACAAACATTATTTAAATCTATTATCTTTTTAATAGCTTAAAAATACATTTTCACAAAGACAAACGTATAGTTTATTTTCGATAGAAGTACTATATGTTTTGTATTCATTTCATTTTAAAGAAACACAAAATAGTTGATTTATTTTTAAATTTATTAAACACAAAAAGGAACACATTTTAACAAAGTTTAATTTAATAAGCGAAATCAATATTGTATCGTGAAAACACTAAATAATTCCTAACAATAAATATATACCTGTCTATTAAGTGTTTGTTAGATTTTTTCCTGCAATATTTTTTCATTGCCCTAATCTCCAACGAGATACAGAAGCGTTCACCGTTCGTAATTGAATTGGCAGGGCACATTCAAACTGCTTGAAATGTTTTTTTTACATTTTCCGTACGCGCCCAGTGTCGTGTCGGCAATAAAGGCGCGTTTAAACTGATCTCGTTTAAGAGGCTGTCAACTAATCTGCTAGTGCTAAGCCAACGTCAACATATATGAGATATCTTATCAGACATTATATTCGCATTTTAAAACTATGACAAATATCTTGCGGTAACTTAGCGGCTTTATCTCATACACATTGCTTTGTGATTAGTTCAATCCGTAAATGTACAAAAATAATATATAAAACTTGGTGTTTATGTTTGAATGCCGTTTTTGGCTTTTGTGTGTAATGTATATGTTTAAATATTGTAGTAATACTGATGAGCAAATAAATATATAAACATGCACAAAAAAGAATCAAAATTCCATTCGGAGGATAAAATAAATCCTTATTGTATTTATTCCTACGTGAAAAATTTAAATTATGTATATTAAATAGTGAATCATTTACCCATAAATAATTTATCAAGGTTTGAAAGACTACTAGCAAATCTGTAGGATATAACACAACATTTAATACTCTAATATCCGCGTAGGAATTGAAATGTTAGAGATTTTAATTGCTACGATTCACATTAGATAATTCAATAACATTACAAATACTTAGACAAAACAAGCAAAACTAATAAAAGTATATCCATACTATAGAAGCCTTAATAGACAAAACAAAACAATCGAATAGATTTACGTGAAAATTATAATTTTTAAATGTTTATTCTAATAGAGACAGAGATTAAAGAGTAAGTTTGTTTGCGTTGCGTCCGCCAGGCGGTCCGCTAAGGTTGTTAGGTTCTTGAATAAGTTTCTGAATTAAGAGAACTGAAAGTTTTCTCATCTTGAGATTACGGCAAAGTGTTTACCGTTTGGCTGGATGCGGCGACGCGACACCCTCTTTAGTCATGTCTACCAACATTGTTCAAGATATCTATAATTATTTTTAAAACTAAAACGTATTTATATTGCTTAGTCTGTGGACAACACTTGTCCTTTGTCTTCTGTGTTGTTCTGGTTTTTATTATATTTCGCATAGGTCTGTTTCAATATCCAAAATTCGAATTGTATTTGCTACGAGCCAGCGATTTTATAAAGATAGCACATTTGACAGCTTTGCTTTTTTAGACTGTGCGTTTTGATAGTCTGTGAACGTATGACAGTTTTCTTTGACCTTACAAATCATATGTCCTTACTGCAAATGTAGCCATAGTTTGTTTAAATTTGTTAAATTATTAATTAATTAATTTAGAGGAAAAAGCATATGTCCAAATCATTGCGTTATTATTATTTATTGATTTTTATTTCAATACACGAACATTGTTGAAGCATTTTTAATTATGTCAAAACTAATGGTTGTCGTGCTATAACTAATTAAAATGAACATACACAAAATGATTATTAAAAATTATAATAGAAGCAAATTCCACTGTATTATAAAAATCATATATACACTCTTATTACAGTTACGATAGAACTGAAATAGAATATATGTTTAACTATGCAAATTCCAAAGTAATATATGTAATGGAAACGTTTGACCATCAAAAGTCGTAGACAAGCAACAGAACATCGATAGAAGTGCACATCCCTACACATTCTCAGTATTTTCATAAAATATTTGCTCAAATGTATCGCACCTGATGCTCTGTCGCTGCACTTACTGTGATTCACGTAAACAAAAAGCCGCTAACAAATATTTAAGTTAGCGATATGTCACAGATATTTTACAGAAGATAAGGTATCAACCGAATACTTGGAATGGATTTCGATATCTTTCTATTATTGCTTAAAATAACCAGACTGTCCTTGGTATTGGCCTCAGCGCCGAGGCTGTATAAGAATAGCGACATCATGACGTATGCAAATTAAATATAGTTCGTTAATTAAACATAACAATCAAATATACAGTATTTACAATTTTCTTAACCTACATAGATAATAATAATTCAAAATTAAAAAAAATAAAAAAGTTTGGTCCCTGTGGCAGTGTACCTTTCTCGCTGAATACAATCAAAAAAAATATCGCTATTGCGATACTTTTTCGCTGAGCGAGGAAAGCACTAGCTCTGGGGCCACCGGTACTATCTACCAGGTGCCAACTTAAATCTTTAACCAGCGCCTGTGCACTTGAACCCCACGGCCCAAGAGTCTCTACTCCAAAGGGAACGAATTTGGACGAAAGACTCTTATATTTGAGCCATTTATTATTTTCCCCCTGCTCTGCGGCCACGGCTTTTTTGCTTGTCCGACGGAGGTGAGATGGGGCTAACATGTCCACACAAGTAGCATCCCATACCACCTTCCGACTATAAACCGTCCCATCTTTCAAGGGATCAATGACATCCCATACGGCCGCTTGCCATCGTCTTTTGCGATGCCAAAATACAATCTTTAAATACGTAGCAATGATTTAGTAACCCTTACTAGAGCACGTCAGACTTAAACACACGTAGACACAAACCAATAGGCTAGAATTTAGTCTGTGAAATAAAACTATGTTTAATTCAAAATTCATTTTTTTTTATTCAATAACAAGTTATATTTTTAGCAGATATTGGAGCCCTTGAACTAAGTCTATGGAGACCTGTACATCAGGGTACTCCGCTCTTCCAATGGTATAACGAAATAGTAACTTAACAATAATAAAATTTATTAAACAATAAATAAATAGCAAGTGAATTTCAACTGATGTCGAGGAATGTCCACCCAAATCACCTTGATAAGTAAGTGTTTTTATTACAAGTTTTCTGCTATTTCATTGTTTGAATCTTTACGTGAAGATACATGATAATCTCAGCGGTAAGAAGGATTGTAAATCGCTGGATTTGTCAGTTGTTTATAGCAGCAAATTATTTCATACTTGCTGTACCCGGATTCGTTCGCGTTAATTTGATCATAGATAATTTTAATCATGTTGAGTGATGAACGCTTATGTATGTGTATGTGTTATAAGGTATTTCACGAAGATAATAATGTAATATACTTCCTAAAACTCCTTCCTATATCAAAAACGATTTCAAATTTTTGAGAGACCACAGCTTACCCTCTTCCGAAAACTATATCCTTGAAATCCCATCTCATAACTATTTCTTGGCGAATCCTTTAAGATCTCTGCAGTGAGGCTATGGAATTTACTTCTTGTCGCTTCTATTCGCTTAGCTCCTTCTCTATCTTCCTTTGAATCCCTACTGTACAAACATTACCTGTATGCAACGAAGTGTTAATAAATAAATACTTAATATGTAATTATTTACCAGAAATAGATGATAGTTTATCTCGAAACAGATCAAGAAATCAGAGGTCAAGTCACTTAGACGTTGTAGCGCCACTGCTAGTAGTTATTTCAATTGGTTTAGTAACTTTAGAGTTACCATTACTAACAAAAGTCTATTTCTTCTTTATGATTTTATATTCCGTGCTTAGTAACTATACTTGGGTAGGTAATGGCCTACCCAAGGACGACCTATTCGAAACTCTAGGAAATCTATGGAAATTCGCACGAGGGTTGAAAACTTATATTCCCATCATTACCCCATCATCATATACCCTTCATTCAATACAAATTCCGTCTGTAAAAACCAACCTAGGAGTTCAGGCACCTCTCATTCGAATTCGCGAATACAACAGAATAAACAGTTCTTATCCAGAGCTTCATGTATTCGTAGTAGGCTGATCAATTAAAAAAAAGGCATTGTTAATTGCCTATCTTAGGTATGAGATATCCGCTGTTTTGCTGGTATTTTTTTGTATTTGAATTTTTTTTATAGAACGGGGGGCAAACGGGCAGGAGGCTCACCTGATGTTAAGTGATACCGCCGCCCATGGACACTCTCAATGCCAGAGGGCTCGCGAGTGCGTTGCCGGCCTTTTAAGAATTGGTACGCTCTTTTCTTGAAGGACCCTAAGTCGAATTGGTTCGGAAATACTTCAGTGGGCAGCCACATACTGGTGGTTTTTTTGAATTTTTTTAACATTTATGTTTACCATAATTGTCATGTATTAGAATTGATAGCTTGTAAGATATACTGTAAACACGATGTGGTCACTCAATAAATAAATAAATATATCATCAATGTTTTGTTAAAATATCTGTAACTGGTTTTATCATGATTATTTTACACGGGCATTCAATATACGCGAAGTCTACGTAGAAATCGTTTTAGTATGTCGTGATCGCTCTTAATTTGCACCTGTTATCACTAACGTGCTATCCATGCAAATACTATTTTATTGCTTTTATGACAGGTAAATAAAAGTTGTATGTTGCTGCATTTTCAGCATATATAAAAATTTATTGAACAAGTATATCGAAAATTATGTACAATGGCAGATGGATAAAGAGGGTAACAAGGTGGTAAGGGCCACCAGGGAAAAGAAACAGAGGTCGCCGTTATGTGGTGTCGAGCCTTAAGAAGTTGGTGTAGAAGATTGTGAGAATAATCAAGATCAAGATGAAGATGGAGCCAATTGGAGGAGGCCTATACTCTTTGGAAAAAAACATATAATTTATTTATAATTATTTCTGTGT